ATCCCGGAAATTGACCAGTCTAAGAAGATGTTTTTCAGATAAGCCGGGATCCTATTAAAAAATATAGGGATCCCGGGAATTGACAAGTTCAAGAATATAGTTTTCACGTATTAAAATATAAAGAGATCCATGGAATTGGCCAGTTCAAGAATATAGTTTTCAGAAAAGCTGGGATCGTATTAAAACATATAGGGATCCCGGGATTTGACCAATTCAAGCATATAGATTTTATGTATTAAAATATAAAGAGATCCCAGGAATTGGCCAGTTCAAGAATACAGTTTTCAGAAAAGCTGGATCGTATTAAAACATATAGGGATCCCGGGATTTGACCAGTTCAAGAATATAGTCTTTGATTTTTCCAATAAATTAGGCATATAATTATAAGTATTGTGATTTCCGCATTTTAAGTTTGTTAATAAATAGCTCTAAATATATCTATACCCTAAGTTAAATTAATTTAACGTTCATTACGTACAATAAAAACTTAACGTTTAATAGCCTTTCATTACGACAATTATCAACACAAATATAGTTTATTAGTTTTTTCCTCTATATCTTATACGATCCCGGATCCCGGGCGTTCCGGATCCCGGCCAGTAAATACATACACTAAATATCGGAAAGGATAAATGACCGGAAAAAAAAAATAAAAAAAAAATGCACAGAACCAGATGTACACTTATGTTAATTAACCAAACTAAAACTTACTACAGAGAAAACAGGTGAAATCGCTTAATCAAAAGTGAGTGTAAATATGAGTAATTGAAAAGAATTCATGAAAACAAACATTTTAATCATCATTATATGCGCTTTGCGCTCAAAACAATACTTGCTGCATTTTAAAAATGGCGTGAAAATTGAAAGTTTTTTTGACGCTATGTAAGATTAAATTTGATTGGCTAAATAATTTTGGATCCTAGCCCTGATAGATAAATTTTGCAGAAAGCTGGAAGCCAAGCTTCGATTAAATTTTTGGATGGATTCGGAGTTTTAGCTTGTTTCTCAGTAAAATCCTAACGTAATACCGGCTCGCCGTGGCGAGCCGGCATAAGAGAAACGATGACTGCCATTTAACTCGCTCATTCGTCTTGTCAGATGTTAGCAAATGAGGTATCTGTCTGGCAGTTGTTCGCCTAACTTACTTCAAGTAATTTTTGAAAATTGTATGAGTAGATCCGTTTGATATCCCTGCGACATGGGCTTCCTTGGTGAGTGAAAGTATGGCATATTTGTCAATGACAAGCTTGACTTTATGAATGTTTTGTCAGTCACTATGGATTGTTTGCTTCTAGACTAGCAGGCAACTTTAATTGCATAGTCACGCCCGGCAAACTGTCGCTCCACTTCAAAATTGTGGTGTACGGTAAAACGAGCGAACCGCATTTCCGAGATAGAGCGGAAGGCCGATTTAAACGGATAATTGCAAGTGTTGTTTATGTTTTTGTCTTGTTATTCATTTAAGTTGTATTTTTTCGAAAAACGGAAAATGTAGTTCCGTGTAGGATTGTTTTAGGCTTTCAATGATCTAAGCTGTTACGAAAACAAAATTATATTAAGCCCGGGAGAACTTTTCTCCCTGACGAAGTGAACGACGATTTGTGGAATATTGAACTTCATAACCATTAAAATGCCACACCCTTCGGATTTCTTTAAAAAATGTTTTTGGAAAATATCAACCCGTAATAAGAACTTGTCCTTCGTGCAAAATAAACTACTCATGGTGGATTTCTTAAATTTGATTATCGATTTTTTTCAAAAGTAGTGGAGCCAAAGGGCAAGAGATAGAGCGAAAGGTCGGTTGTTGGGCGCAAGGCGACATTTAGTTTGTGTAAAAAGCATAGTCTACAAATTTCTATAAATAAAATCTTTTAAAGTTAAAATAGACATACTAAAATGTGAAATAAATAAATACAGAATCCCTAAAAGCCGGAAAAATATGATAAGATATTAATTTATTTCTACTATAAGTAGGTCTTTCGATTGTTAATAATTTTGGACCGTACACCGATTAAGCACTGCCTTTTTATTACGTTCCTTTTGTTCATAGATACTCTGAATAAACTTTTACACTCATTTTTTTCTTTCATTAACCAAGATTTTTACTGACAATATGCAGTGTTTGATTATAAAAGTGAACATTTCCATTTATACTTTGAGAGGAAAATGGTAAACTAAACAACAATGCTAAATAAGAAAGAAAGTATCTTGAAACATAACTGAAACTCTTATATAACCCCCCCCCCCCTTCCTTGGGTCTCGTATCCCCTTCCCCTATGCCCCTTTACTTTGTGAGCCTGTTAAGCAGTCATTTATCTTTCTTCTTTGTTTTCCTTGTCGGTTTTGATGATTTCTTTTTATGTTTCATTTATAATAAGTGATTGACCTGTCCGTGCTCCGCATTGCGCTCTGTCCTGTTTTTGTTTGAGGGTCTCCTGGACTCCTTGCCAACGGTTAAAGTCTTTTTGCTGGGTCGCGTGGGGGTTGCATTCATTGACCGCCGCCTTTCCTTGTTGATCTAGAGCTACGGTAGAGCCCCGGTATATGCCGGCAGAGCCCCGGTAACTACAGGCAGAGCCCCGGAGGATAAAGGTAGAGCTACAGTTGATCCCGGTAGAGCCCCGGCAAAGCCCGGATCATTTCAAAAGAATAACGACAATTTGCGATGATTGCACTTGTTTGTATTAAAACCCTTCCCATTTCCCTTCTATCCAGTATGGCATAAGGATTTTTCAGAAAATCATCATGAATTACTATTCTGGAACAATAGATATTATACTAAATAAAAATTATGTATCAATGTTATCCTTTTTGGGCGTTTTCAATCCACCGGGGTTCTACCGGGGCTCTGCCTGGATCGTCCTTGGCTCTGCCGAAGCTCTGCCTGGATCGACCGGGGCTCTGCCTGGGTCAACCGGGGCTCTTCTGGCGTCATCCGGGAACGACCGGGGAAGCACCGGCATGAACCGTAGCTTCACCTGGGCTCTGCCTGGATAATCCGGAGCGCATCCTGGGTGGTTAGTTGGGAACTACCATAATGCTGCCGGGGTAAGTGTGACCGTAACAATAATTTCAACCCGGATCGTCTCGAATCATCCCGGTAACTTACCGGGATGGTCATGGGCATTGCCGGGAGTAAGTGAGACCGCAGCTTAACTGTGTCAAAATCATGATTGACCTCGAATAAGTGGCACCCTGTTTTACGCCATATAATTCAATGATTTGGCGTCATCCAAATTTGGAACATAGATTATTGAATCTATACGGCAGCCATAGGTGACACCTTTGCGATTACATTTATTACGCTAAAGTCGTTGAAAGGATGTTGTCTTTAAAAGGTAAATATATATATCTCAGACTCAACACTTGATCATGTCTATTTTAACTTCTTTAGCTTTTTATATAAAAATTCATAGACTACGCTCCTCCTAATATGCTAAATTAATATCGCCTTGCGCTCAACATCGAACCGTTCGCTCCATCTCTTGCCCTTTTGCTCCACTACTTTCGAAAAATATCGATTTACAAATTTAAGAAAACCTTCAGAAGTAATTTATGTTGCACGAAGGACAAGTTCTTATTACGGGTTGATATTTTCCTAAAACATTTTTTAAAGAATTCCGAAAGGTATGGCATTTTAATGGTTGGGAAGTTCAATATTCTACAAATGGTCGTTCACTTCGTCAGGGAGAAAAGTTCTCCCGGGCTTAAAATAATTTTGTTTTTGTAACAGCTTAGATCATTGAAAGCCTAAAACAATCCTACACGGAACTACATTTTCGTTTTTCGAAAAAATACAACTTAAATGAATAACAAGACAAAAACATAAACAACACTTGCAATTATCCGTTTAAATCGGCCTTCCGCTCTATCTCGGAAATGCCGTTCGCTCGTTTTACCGTACACCACAATTTTGAAGTGGAGCGACAGTTTGCCGGGCGTGATAGTGCCCATTTTGGAATTTATGCAACCACATTGAAACAGTTGCATATGATACTTATATGATGTAAATATTACATATATCATTATAAACATTTTAAGCAGATCTTCATAGTTTTGCTCAAGCTGTTATGCAAGCCCGTATTTCATCACTTTCAACTAAGCGTTTACTCGTTACACGTTTACGGTATCTTTAAATGTGAAGAAAAAATAATGTACACAAGCACAAGAATCAAGAACTCAATTAGAAAATAACTTCATATTACATTACCATTGACCCACACTCGTATTTATCACAAAAGCTTACTTAAACATAATATTTTACTAGTTTTCTTTGAACGTAGATATTATGGCAGTTGAAAGAAAAATGTCATCGTTTCACATAATTTATTATAGTCATATTGATAAATCTAGCATCTAGTTTCTTACGGTTTTAGATAACATTTTAAGATTTTTGTATGTTATCATGTGCGTATACATTTTACAGAAATCAGCTTAGATTTTAAATGTCTCAGCATTATATACACAACAAAGCCGTACTTCATAATATTTTAAGTTTTAACGTATCATGAACAATGCAATGTCAGACTTTTTTCAGATTTGTCGCAAAAATATCATTTTCTTCAATTTACGTTATTTCATTTTCTTATAGTAAACCATGTTGATTCAAAACAACAAAAACAATAAAAAAAAGCAAAATAACAATAATAATAATTATAATAATAATAATAATAAAAAACAATAAACAAAAAAAAAATAAATAAATAAATAAATAAATAAATAAATAAAAATTAACAAGCGGTATTTATGTATTATGTGTATACAAAGTTTGAAAATGAAAAGTTTGTGGTTATCAATGATCATTTATTACGAATATCATAGAGATCTCAACTATAGAATGGAAATTGAAGAGAAATAATACAGGCCTTTTCATAACATGTTTATATATTGTTCATTTAAATGCAAACTCGTGCAATCAATTTTATTTACTAGAATATAGCAACACAACTGTTTTTGTTTATGGATATCCTTATCAAATATTACAAGTAAATAATACTTACACACATATGTAAAAGACATTATCATAATTCCAAAGTTCAAAATGTATCCAAAATAAGAAAACATTTTTGATATCTTTAGCCAATGATTTCAGTGAAATGATAAATAAACTGCAACAGATAGATTAGCACAAATTAACACGAAACCAAAGAAAGTTGACCAAAGTAAGATCAACTCAAAGACCTTTCTCTATAGAGGAACGGATAAACTGTGAGACTTGTGTCTGTATTGGCTAGATTTATCTGTATGCTGCTGTATGCTTCTCAGACCGTGGAAGTCAAATATGGAAAAATGGCCGTTATAAACAGTCGTTTAGTATTTGCAATAAAAAGTGTTAGTGTCTTGTTTTCGTAAACAGAATAAAGAAATAAACAGTATGTAAACAAACAATAATGAAAAATTCAATATGTTTTAAATTTTGATTATCATTTTCAAGACATTTGAACATTGTAATTGGATTTAAATGTATGTGTTTATTCTTTGCATGGGGAATTTTGTCTCCATTACTTTATTGATTTTCAGCCATTAATTCAATTTTTAACCTTCTTCATTCACCATTTAACCATGCTTAAACATTTTGTGTTTTTAAATTTTGTTAGTGTACATACTTGAATTTAAATATGCCAAATTGATCTTTATATCAATGATAGGTTATTGAAAAAACTTAATTCAAATTATATTGTAATATGATAACACTTAAATTTGCAAACAGAAGCTAAAAAGGTAAAATTATCATGTTTACAACATAAATTTAATAAATGTATGAGAGAGAAATACAAGAATTCTGGAAAAAAACATTCTCGTTACTTATTCATATACTTTTATATTGTTATAAAAAAATCTTATACATGTAGTTAATAATTATAGAAAAGATTTCCTTTCATTGTTGTAGTTATGAAAGGATATCCAACAAGTAGCCACAAATATTTACGATGCAGGACGGTCATATATAAAGTACATAACAGCTCAAATGTATTTATCGCACTTGTCATTAATTTCCCATTGTCATGAGAATTGTGATATATTGCTTTTTCTGTTACACTCAGATGACGTGTAATTACCTAATAAAAGAAAAAAAATACAGACGTCTATACCAGGGACCGACCGAATTTGATATTTGAGTGTAAGGACATTGTCCACATAGTGACTTTCTTTATCACTGATAGAAATTGGTCTTAAATTTTCTATTTGAGCCGCGTCACGACAACACCAACATAATGGGTTTGCGACCAGCATGAATCCAGACCAGCCTGCGCATCCGCGCAGTCTGATCAGGATCCATGCTGTTCGCTATCAGTTTCTCTACTTGTTATAGCGTTTGTAAGCGAACAACAAGGATCCTGATCAGACTGGATCCATGCTGGTTGCAAACCCATTATGTTGGTTTTGTCATGACGCTGCTTATTTGATAATATGCAATAATGATCGAAGGCACTGGTGTGAGCTTTGAGATATCAAAATACAATCTATGTTAATTTGTAATTAAAATTATATGCAGCATTTTTCTGTACACACACTTTATTGCACAATCATATTAAACAACAGGCTCGAATGAAAAGATTTACCTGGGTGAGCTGGCAACTAAATATTTCATTTAAACACTGTTCCGTTAACGAAATTGATATACATGTATAAGAAATAATCAGTTCAATAAAACAAACGTTTTTCCTCAGCTTTTGACGTTTATTTTTTTTTTGTTCACTTCATTGTAAAATTATAAAAGTTAACATTTAATGAAATACTGCTCTCTTATTCAAACATCATTTTATAGTTTTAATAAAATAATGTTTACTTCTTCCAACGCTTAAGAATATATATAAAATGGTCAATCAATGTATGTCATTTTGAACATTTAAGAACTTTTATGTTAGATAGTGTAATACCTCTTAATTTTATGTATGTAAAACCGTATCATTCACCATGCGATTGTAAAGAAACAGGTTATTTACATCGATTTAGTAGCTGTTTCTTAAAGGCACTCTACTGAGTTTTTTTTAACATGACGGGACTGGAAATAATTCTTCGGCAAAACTTCTGATCATTCGCTCACTCAGTAAATAATCTATGTGATGACACAAAATTGAAAAGCGTTGCAATGCTTTTAACCGAAATCGGGCTAAGAATAGCACAAAAATACGATTTTCTTTTTTTTCCTGAGTATATTTCTCAATTATCGTTTGCACATCTTTCTATTTCAAAAACCCCTACTACGTAAAAATTGCTCAGTGAAGTTCCTTTGTCAAAATGTGCTATTTCATGATATATTTTCCGTTCATTTTTCAAAATCGAAAATCTAATCAAAATTTGCAAGTCTGTACAAAGCATTTTGTTACTACAAACACGGACAATCAGTCATGTCAAGCTACCACTCTTGACATCTATAAATACCGAAAATAGTTAGAAATGTCGAATAAAAAGGAAAATCGTAACGGTATTATCTTATGTTAGGTTGTTTTTTTCAATCTTAACACAAAACACAAATTCATGTTTGTTTTTTGCTGTTGATGATGATGTTACACCGAATCAAGCTTCTAAAATAAAGAAAAGTATCTTTAAAGGATAGAAATTTATTTATATAAATCAAATTAGTTACTTTCATTATTTGATGAAGGTATTGATTTGTTTATTTCAAGCTTCTTTCAAGTAATCTTTTGTCTAAATGCTCTAAAGGCATGTTTGTTTTTTGTTCATTATGTATGTTTTCTTTTACAAAAAAGCTGAACTTTATTTATAAATTGCGAGCAATTGAAGTAGTCATGGTTTTAAAGCTTGTTCACCTTTTAATATTGTACGATTCTTTTTTCACAACTCTCAGGAACTGAAAACAATTACATTTTGTTTACTTCATTTGTTCAATCGTTCAATTTCATGATTTCATGCAATGAAATAATGAAATGCATGATGTGATATGAGATCAATAGATTGATTCTAAAAAGCGTTCATTATGTCTTAGTTGTTTTGAACAGTTATCTTTAACAAACGCAGAAGCATGGCAGCAAAACCGGAGTTGATGTAAAGGTAACAATTATAGATGCATTAATGTCTTTTATTTGTGTGAAGTATCAAACAGTCCCAAGCGATAAACAAATCTAGCATGAATTAATGATTATGATTTATTCGCGTTTTTCTGATAGTGATGGCTTTGTCCTACGTCAGAGAGTGAATTAAATATTCATTGGTTGATATTTTATATTATATTTGAAACGAAGCAAAATAGAAACTATGTTTTAAATGAATTAATTACAATAATTGCAAATCTGAAGTAGCATAATATATTATATAGATTGAAAATAGCAATTCTTGGATTAATATTTTAGAAATTATTCTTCAACATTGAAACACCACCATGAAATAATGTTTAAAGAATTTTAATGGATCTATAAAGTGAATTGAGAATCAATACTTATACAGCCAAATGCCCTATCGTGAAAAAGGTTTACATTCTTGAAAAGCGAATTATTGTTTTTATCACTATATAAGAAGCTAGGCACTTGACTTACTTCGTTAAGTTTGTGGCACCAATGTCAAACAGTTTCTAGATACCTAAAATTTACAGACTGTGGTTCACAAAATATAGTTAGTGAAAGTGTCATTTTGTGATTAAAACAAATGATACAAATGTACCATGTCAATATTTTGATTCCAAACTTCAGAATAAGGCATCACAATAGCATTACCTAGTTTTTAAAACTATTATAAAGTATGGGGTTTTGTTGTAACAGTTTAATGATATGGAACAAACAAGAACAAATGTTCAACTTAGAACAACGACACTTTAGTTACTGAAAACAACATGAATACAATCAACGCAAAGACTAAACGAGAAACTCTGAGAAACTGTACTTAAAAAGAACAAAAAAAAAACGTTGGCCACAAACTTTTCATTGTGTGTTTGACCATTACATTAAGAATAAAATTGAAATAAAATACTCAATTTTTTATGGGCAATATTGTTTTGCAAGTTTACCTGTCAGCTATATGCCATATCTACGCCATGTTTGTTCTGGAAACCCTCAGTGTTGGTTTTCCAAGGTTTAATTTACATAGGCGAAACATATAGCGAAGTCAAGCGTTTTTAATATATTAGATTCGGACGTTAAATGGTAAATATATTTTCTATTCATGTAACGCATTATGCCATATTAAAAGTATGTAGAACAGTGAATTGACATGTTTGCAACAAATGCATGAATTAAGAATACTTGTAAGTTTACTACCATTCAATTGTATCAGAAGCAGTGGGAAAAATTTAAACAATTCATCTACCTTTTAATCATTCACTATTTCTAATTTAATATTCTTTTCAGCAACACCTAACCATTCGAAATGTTTTGCTTGAATAGTTTAAACTTAAATAAGTTAACTTTAAATTAATTTTAAAATTATGCAGAAGAAAAAAAATATTACACGATACTAGTACTATATTTAAAGGTTTGCTTATAAAATCATCAAATGTGGCAAGGTACAAGAATACATTTCTCAAATAAGAATCAAAATAAATGAAAATCTTTTTTTAACTTTTTGGAACATCCATGGTAGGGCGGGTTAACTCAGTAATTGGGCAATTAATCAATTTTGGATCCCAGTTTTGTATCATTAGAGAAAATAATTGGTTGATATATGAACTTTCAGAGTGTTATTCTGCTAATGAATGTCATTTAGGTAATAACTTATTACGTAAAATCTTATTTTGTGAATAACATATAAATTTGCTTGCTAATATAATTCCAAAATGTGAGAAACATTCATGATAATTCTTCAGGATATATTCATTCACGGACTTGTAAAACTTGTAAAAATATAAAAATTTGCAAATAGAACAAGTTTCCGTTTTGAAATCATGTTGAAAAACTTATTCAAAAATATGTTCATTCATACTATTATGCAATGCACGGATATGAATTTCGCTCCGTTGCTTCCAATAACATGTCATTTCGGCATTTACGGAAGCGTCTGTGTTATTTTCATTTAGATTAGAGACAAGACATTTTGATAAAACGCAGATATATTGATGCACTGCATGCTGAAAATAGTTTTGACGTAATCAAGACAAGGGACATTTAAAATGTATTTCCTTAATATACTGAAATATATAAGAGACTTATATTAAAGACCTATGGTAAAATCTTCGCTGTGAAGTTATTGGAGTTAATTAATTGCAAATGAACACATAATGCATGCAT